TCTCTCTCTCTCTCTCTCTCTCTCTCTCTCTCTTCTCCACTGGCAGCTTTAGCAGTACCCAGGGACCACTGGTGCTTCCTGAAAATGTCTCCCAAACTGTATCTGCGGCCCACTCATTTCTGAATTCTTGCAGGGCAGAGACCCTGTTTAATTCAATTTTGTATCTTCAGAATTTGATATAGTATCATATTGATGAGGTTGATAAGTATTTGCTGGGCTGATGAATGACTTATTGCTTGAGTCAACTTCATTCACAACCTGCCACACATCCCACCCCTGTATTGCCCTTGGACCTCACATTCAGCTTGCATCTTTCCAAATTCATCTTCCTAGCCCTTCTCCAGGAGCTCCTGCTCTTGAATCCCCATTTCTAGGAATGGCCCATGCTCTACTGGGAATTCCAAATTGGTGCCTTGAGTCAACTCTGCTCTTCTTCTTCTTCTTCTTCTTTTTAAACCAACTCTTCCATCTCCACCATAGTCATCAAATGCCAATGTTTATAGCTTTAGGAACAAAACATATTTATTGATGGCCTACTATGTGCCTCCTGTACTGCATACTGAGTTAGGGGGTGAGGGTGCAGTTGTGAACAAAAGAGACAAAAATCTCTGCTCCATGGAACATACAGTCTGGTGAGGGAAAGACAGGAAATAAAAGTATAAGCAAGTGAATATTTAAATTAACAATTTAAATTTCAGGAAGTGATAACTGCTATGAACTAAGGATTAAGGCTAATGAAATGAAGAATGGTAGGTTGGGGGAATGTGGCTTAGTGGCAGGGGACTTGCCTGGCATGCATGATCCCTTAAAAAAAAAACAAAAAACATTGAGAATGGGGCTGGAGCTACTTGAAAGGCTTCTTGGCTGAAGGTAATAGTTCAGGTGAGCTAATGATGAGAAAGATTAACTCAGAAAAAGATTTGGGGACAGAGAATAGTTGGTACCAAGAAGGATACAGGGACTGAAAACCAGTCAGGGCCCACTTCCTCCACCTGAAAAATAGTGATGAAGATGAGTAAGAGGAGGAAGAGGATAGTAGTATGAAGATAGGAAGAGGATAGTAGTATGATGACACTAAAGATGATAGTGGAATAGAGTAATTGGCTTTCTTAGTGCTTAGTTTGAATTACATCATTTCGTTCTCATGGCAATCTCTAAGATGGGGACTATCATGTCTCCCATTTTAGGGCTGGGAGAACTGAAGTACAGAGAAGTAAATAACCTGCCTAAGACCACACAGTGAGTGAGTGATGAATCCACAATTCAAAATTGAGTGCTGTCTCCTATATTTGCTTCCAGTGATATGTAGATGCCCACCACCAGAAGATTCTGGTAAATACTATAGGTCCTGCAAACCCAGGCTCAACTTCTGCCTTTTCCATGGAGCCTTTGCTCTTCCTCTTGGCCTGAAGTATTTTCTCCTCTCAACATGCAGTGGAACTTTGACCTCCTTGTCATATGGTGTGGATCACATTCTCTCTTGTATTTTGAATAGCATATATAAATTGTCTTTCAAAAAATTTTCATGTCTGAAACCTGTTGAAGTTCAGGAGCTGTGCCATGTTTATCTTTTTAACCCTCTCTAAAGATAGACTAGAGAGGGCATTATTAATATAATATGTATCTGTGACACAGTCACCACTTGACCTAAGAGGCATCTTTCTAAGACCTGGTGTGTGGTTTCTTCTTGCAGACAGGAAGACATCTTATCCATTCTCACTGCAGTCAATAATGATGTGAGTCAACAGGTGAACAGCGACGGAACACTGAGACAGATGCCCCAGCCTGCTTTCACACTAAGGAGAAAACTCGTATTCCCTGTGCCACAGAATGAGCTTTTATTATTGTAGAGAGTTTTTACTGGCTCCTAGATTTGAAAGGAAACTTTGATTATGTCCTCCGGCCTCCCTCCCAGCATGGGAATTGGTGATAGGTGGTGAGTTGGTCTCCACCTGTCATTCTAGCAATGGAAATACCTTGTTTTATGATAGTCAATTCTACTTTTTTTTTCTTTTGACAAGTCTACATATTAGAAAACTTTATTGATTAAAGACTTGGGTTATAGCCTTGGTTTTGAGTAGGTATCCTGAAGAACAAACAACTGACCTTGGTTTGTGCGTCTGTGAAATGCAAGGTGGGATCAGATGTATTTTTCAGGTTCCTTCAAGTTCTAAGAACCACTGGCTTAGTCTGAGCTTGGCTTTCCTCTCTAGATGTATACCCCTTGGTTATAATTCTGTGTCCCCTCTGCATGGCCCTGGACATGGGATGATGGCATCATGATGCACACTCCATCTGCTATCCCCCTTCCTAAACTTCTCTTCCTGCACATGTAGTGAGGGGAATCTGGTCTGTGCCACAGCCAATCTCCTGCTTTAGTGTAGGGAAGGTACTCATGCAAGAACTGTTTTTCTTGAGCTGGGCAGAGGTGTGGTTCTAGGAAGAAGACTGCTCACTGAAAAGACAGACATATTCAGCTGCTCCAGAAACAGAAACTTCATAGCCTGATGTCACACTCTCTCTTGTTCAAAACTTTTCAGGTGCTGGTGGCAGAACACCCAGCTCAAACTGACTAAAACAAAGCAGGGAATTTATTGCCACCCTTTTTCCCTTGGAAATTGATGAGTCACTAGCACTTACTTCAGGCAACACTTGAATCAGGACTCAATCTACAAGGCAGCACCTGTCTCTTCACTGGATCTTCTCAGGTTGCCAACTGCACTGTGTGGACTGCAGTCAACAGCCCTACCTTGTCACTAGTACACAGTGCTCCTCTGGTCCAAATGTGGAGGAAAGAGGCCACCTCAAAGATGGGTGCTGTTCATAGGGATCATTGGACTTTCCCTGACCAGAGAGGTGTCTGGCAGTGTTTGTATAGAAGCCATGATAATTTTTACATGAAGGTTTTGAACATGTCCTTGAGCATTTTTCTCAATTCCAAGAGGATTTTTTTTCTTTTTAATGTCTAGAAACATATTTTGAATCCTTGAAGTTTTGACCTAAGAAGAAGATGGAAAATCTTGTGATCAAAGCCTCATTTATAGATGAAGATGCTGAGGCAACTAGCTCACTGTCCTTCAGCAGGTTATTGCTTACAGAATTCCATTTCCCACTCTAGTGGACTGGAATATCATGGGGCATGACAGGGCATTATGTTTCTTTAAATATGTAGATGCTCATAAAAGATACCAAGGAATGAAGAAAAATGACTCTCATAGGTGCTTGACTTTATAATTTATATGAAAATCAGGTTCATAGTGAATTTGCTGTAAGAAGTATTCCTACACACCCTGTTTTAATGTAACTGACCATTGCAGGGACTTGAATGTAGCTTGATTAAGGAAATAAGTCCAATATATGTCAGAATGTTCTTTCAAAACCTTCATTTAAACAGAGCAAAGCTAAAAGCTTGTCATCATAGTATTTATCCAGTTGGATACTCATAGCCTTTGGCTATTTAACAGTTTTCTGCAATGAAGGTTGGTGTAGTATAAAGAAAAGACCAGAGGATCTGTAGATTGAGGCCTCAGGTTTCCATTTCACCCTGCAAAACTCCCATGCTCTGAAATAGTCACTGATTCAAGCTTTTTTTTTTTTTTTTGAACCTTCTCTGGAGTAGAAAAGTACTAGCTATTGGGAAGTTAAAGGAGAATGTATATCTATATACACACTTAAATCTAATTGTGACATGTACATGCAAGACCTTTAGGTGGTGGAGTCCTCTGGTAGTGTTCTAAGTGGAGATATAGGACTCGAGTTCTTTTGATCCTTCCAGTTGACTTCATTAGCAGCAACACTAGCAACAGGCCCTGACATCCTCTGAGTGAGGAGCCAGGTCTCCCTTCACTGGGTCATGATGTCCCCAGCAGCAGAAGGGCAACTTGGTGGAGTCCAGTTGATAAAACACTGTTAATAAAATCTTCAGCAGCAATTGAGGGCTGATGTTTAAGTCTAGGGCCTGAGGTTTATTTCACATTTTGATATGTTGGAACCTAGTGCATATACGTGTTTAAATTCTGATCAGCAAAGTTTCCATGAATTTTGTAGAGGCTTCCACCAAGCACTTTAGGAATTCCTGGACTGAGTCATGAATATATACAGACCACAGGGATGCAATCATCCTTGACTCATTTCTCCTGATCAGGGCCTGTACACACATGTTAGAGAGCACCCTCAAAGATGGTGCAAAACATATTTGTCTGTGTTTAAGAGTGTGTACACATCTGTGTGAATTTAAAGTCTAGGAATAACAGGGTTTTTTTAGTGACAGCTATTTGAGAGTGGCTACAGTCAGTGTTGGCCCAGATATTTATGAAAGAAATGGGAAAACTGAGTGAAGTTCTTACATATTTTGTGCAGTTGTGCTCAACCTACAAGAGTTTTAATTATTATTATTATTATTATTATTATTTCCCTTTCTGTTCTCTCTTTCATTCTTTCACAAAAGTTTGGGTACTGTCACACAAAATGAAAAGACATGAAAAGTGTCAACAAGATATTATGCAATGTTATAGTTATTTAATACTAATTCTACTGATTTAATACTAATTAAATTCTAATTTAATTCTAATTAAATTATACTATTTAATACTAATTCTACTAATAACTGATTATTATTATTATTATTATTATTATTATTATTATTAGAGTTACTGGTAGCACATCCTACTGGCCTCACTTCAGGGGGCCAACGGGGGTGGGTGGGTTTGATATCCTGCAGATTACACTTAACAAACACTGTATTTCACTAGTGCTTAGGCAATGTTACACAATTGAACAAATGGTGCATTATGAGTACTGACCAATTAATACAGGCAATAGCAGGTGTAACACAATGGTTCATGTTACTGATTTGCAGCCCTTTTTTCATGATTAAGTCTCAATGGAGGTAAACCATCTTCAAAGTTTACCTCATTTCATGGGCAATTTTTGTGCCATACATTCACTCAGTTAATGTTCTAAGCCATCTAGGCAAATTGTTCTTAACCTAGAATTCTTAGACCCTTGGAATATTTGTAAATTTATTCTTAGGGTCTCTGAGCTCTCCTTTTTCTCTTTCAGATGCTTTAATTATTTTTTCCAATAATCTTTAAAAATTAATAGATAGGTATCTTGGCTTTTCTGACTGTTTCAGATTTGAGTACTGACACATAATTTTTGTGCGGACATTCTGGTATCCACAGAAAATAATAAAATTTACCTTGAACTGTTAATGTAGATAGATGGGCATCAAATTATTGTCAGAAGCCAGTAGTTAATCCATTTGGCACCTGCTCCAATCCATCCTCTCTTTCCATGATCAACTTCTACTTTATAGTTCTTCATCTCTGCTTAAGTCTTCCAGCAAGGGAACTCATACCACAAGTGGGGTCATGGAGCTGGGAGTTTGGAAGGTCCCCAGTGACCTCATGATTCAGGTCTCAGAGTGTTAAACAGTTTGCCAAAGTATCATAATCATTAGTGGATTTGCTCTGTTGTATATCTCTGGATTTGCAATCTTATGCCTCTAAGTCAATTGGTTTCACTTTTGGTAGCTTTAATTGTTCCCTTTCTTCTGTTGAACAGGAACCAATTTAAAAAAAAAACACTTGTTCTCATTCTAAACTTGTACTGTACAAAATAAGTGTAACTGTCCTCTGGTGAAGTATATGTATGTGAAAAATCATTGATCTTTTTCTGTTAGGGTGTGTGTCTTATAGAAAGTCTAGAGATTGCCCTTAAGGATGTGGTACGAATATACTATACAGTAATAGCTTTGAATAGGAACTAAAATTTTAAATTTAGGTTTTTTTTTTTTAAAATGGAACTCTACAAAAAAATTTAAAAATGGAACCCTCTTAAAAATGCTGGAGGAAGGCTGGGATTGTGGCTCAGCGGTAGAGTGCTCGCCTATCAGATGTCAAGACCCTGGGTTCAATTCTCAGCACCATATAAAAATAAAATAAAGATATTGTGTCCAACTACAACTAAAACATAAATATTTTTTAAAAAATCTAGAAGAGCTCTCTGCTTCCTGATAATCATGTGAACTGCTTCCCTCTGCCACATTCTTCTGCCATGATGTTCTGCCTCATCTTGATCCCCAAGGAATGAAACTGGCCTTCTATGGACTAAAACCTCTGAAACTGTGAGCCATCAAATAAATTTTTCACCTTCTAAACATGTTCTGTTTAGAAGGATCCTTTAGTCACAGCAGTGAAAAAGCTGACTAAAACAGAAATTGTTACTGAGAAGTGGGATCATTGCTGTGACTAACCTGACCATGTGGTTCAGAATCTTTCTGAGCTTTTTGGAATTGGTGGGAGGATTTTGAGATGTTTAGCAATGCAAGCTGGAAATGCTTTAGGTTGTTGTAAGTGGAGCTCAATGGCTGATTTTGGTGGGAGCTCAGAAGAGCAGAATGCTAATAGGACTGTGGACAGTTAAGACAGAGCTCAAGATTGTTTAGAGGAAAAAGAGGACACTATGGTAATTGGACTAGAGGCCATTCCCATTATATTCTGACTGAGAAGTTATCTGCATTTTGCCCATACCCTGAGACTTTCTGTGAGGCTGATTTTAAAAGTGATGGACTTCTTAATCTGGTAGAAGAAATTTCTAGGCAGCATAGCATTCAGAAGGTGGCATGGATATGCTGGCAGCCTTTAGCCAAACTTATTGTTATAGCCAGGAGCAGAAAGCAGAGCAGAAAGATTTAGAAAATGCAGACTTAAAGGTGGAAGTAAACTAGGGCTAAGGAAGTTGCAGTTATTAAAGATATTACTTCCACTAAAGAAATGCCAAAGACTTTGCCCAGAGACAATGAGAAAGATGGCTTGAGGACATCTCAGGAATTTGCAAGAACAGACCCCCCTTAGACTCAAGGAAAGAAAAGTAAAAATTCTCTTGAGATGAAATCAGTGGGGAATCCTTCTTGTACAAAGGGGCCTAAAAAGTTTTTTCAACATGCGTAACCACTCAGACACTCAGAGGCTGCTGCAGCAAGTGTCCCTGGAGGCTAAGCTACTGCTTGAGATGGCAGTAGACCTTGGTGTTAATCACATGGTGCTGGTTCTGCAGGAATGTAGGAGGCTGGAGTGAGGGGGTATGGAGGCTTCAACCAAGATTTCAAAGGAAGTTCTGGGAGGCCAGGCAAGGAAGACCCCCAAGATGAAGAAATGACAGTAACGTGGGACATTGTCCTAGGAAAGCTGCAGGAATTAAGCAGAGACAAGCCAACAGAAAGGCCACTTGGATTGCACCCAAAAAGGCCACAGGGACGGAGCTACATAAGCCCTTTGGAGAAGACATTATACCATATGATCCAGATGTTGGACAAAGAACTACAGGACTTGTTTGCGCACCTGGATTTTGGTCTTGCTTTGGTCCCATCCCTTCTTTCTATGCCCCTATTTTTGTGAGTGGAAATGTTTACTCTGTACCTGTATATAGTATATACTTATAAATTGCTTTGGATACTTATAAATTGCTTTTAATTTTACATGATCTCACAATGCAAGATTGTTTTGAGCCTCAGAGAAAACTTTGGACTTGAGCTTTGAGAAGTCTCAGAACTATCGAGAATATGGGGACTCTTGGGAAATGGATTAAATGTATTTTGCATTGCCAGATGAGTGTGAACTTTTGGGGGCCAGGGACAGAATGTCATGGTTTGGATGTGAAGTGTCTCCCAAAAGCTCACATGTGAGACAATGCAAGAGGGTTCAGAATGGAAATGATTGGGTTGTGAGAGCCTTAACCCAGTCAGTGAATTAATCACCTGATGGGGTTAATACAGTGGTAACTGAGGCAGGTGGAGTATTGAGGGCGTGGCTTTGGGATATGTATTTATATCTGTCAAGTGGAGATCTCTAATTCCTGATTATCATGTGAGTTGCTTCTCTCTGCCATATCATTCCTCTATGATGTTCTGCCTCACCTTGAGCCATGAGGAATGGAGCCAGCCTTCCATAGACTATGACCTCTGAAACTGGGAACCCTCAAATACACTTTTCCTCCTGACACATGTTTTGGTCAGGTCCTTTAGTGACAGCAGCAAAAAAGATGACTAAAACACCCTTATACCTAAACCTAACTTTATGTAAAAGCATATGTAATATATTTTGACATATATTCAATTATTAATGGTATATTCATATATATTATTATATATTCATATATATAATTTATCCATGCATCCCAAGTTAGGGTTTGGGCTGTGGCTCAGAGGTAGAGTGCTCGCCTACCATGTGTGAGGCACTGGGTTCGATCCTCAGCACCACATACAAATAAAGATATTGTGTCTACCTATAACTAAAAAATAAATATAAAAAAATTTGTACTCATTTAAAAAATGCTAGAAGAAATCTTTGTTTAAACAATGACTCATTTGGCAATGCAAACAATCATTTCCTACCATAACTTTTGCAGATTAGTTTTAAAAGGTTTTCTATTAAAAATTTTAAAGTATATTGATTTTTACTTCTTACATTTAATTTTGGGTAGATAATATCTTTACATTGTGTCTTGATAAGAAAATGAGAATAGGTATTCATAAAAGTCTTGAATTTTTCTGTCTACCATGTGCCCAGTCCTTTCCATGTCCTCAACCCATAGATCACTCCAGACAAGTATGTATGTATTTGTTGTGCAAATTCAACAAATACAAACATATATTTGTTTAAAAAAGGTATTATTGAGAGAGAAAATATATACTGTGAAATTCATATCTCTCATTTGATCTTATTTTTTTAAAGGTGAAAGAAGAATCCTTTAATAGAAGTTGCTATAGTCAGCAGCTGTAGAAAATGTTTCCCCCATTTTGGACTCTTTCCTGAGCACTGTGTTTCTCAAATTTCAGGCATTCACACTCAGCTTTCCCCAAAATGTGTCATAGGTTTATAACACCCATTAGGTTACCTATCAAATAGAGTGCTTTAAATTGATTTTTTTTTGAGGGGGTGCTGGGGATTAAAGCTCATGCATGCTAAGCAAGTGCTCTATTTTTTTAATTTTGAGACAAGGTCTCACTAAGTTGCTTAGACTGGTTTCAAACTTGGCGATCCTCCTGTCTCAGCCTCCTGAGTCGCTGGGATTATAGGAGTGCAATACTGCACAAGGCTTTCCTCCTCCTTTCTTTCCTGTGGTGGTAGTGTCAAAATCAGGACTTGGTGCTTACTAGGATAGTACTCTACCACTGGGTTACATTCCCATGCATATATAATGAGTTTCAGAAACATAGTTAGGTAGCCACTGTCACCACCTCAGGGTGAGGTCACAGAAAGCTGCCATGAGATGATGGATGTGAAAGGTCATTTACTACCTTGCACTCATTCATTCAGTCGAAATTTACTGGGCACTCACTCACTGTGTGCCCCATCCTGTGTTAAGCGCTGGGGCCAGGGCAGGACCAAGACTCAGGGCTGTTCTTAAAAGGCTCCCCAAGCCCAGCGCAGTGGCACACACCTGTAATCCCAGCGGCTTGGGAGGCTGAGACAGGAGGATCGCGGGTTCAAAGCCAGCCTCAGCAACAGCAAGGCACTAAGCAACTCAGTGAGACCCTCTCTCTAAATAAAATACAAAATAGGGCTGGAGGTGTGGCTCAGTGGTCGTGAGCTCGAGATCCGTCCCCGGTAACAACAACAACAAAAGGCTCCCTAAGGTGGTCCTTTACCCTCAGTGTCATCTGCAAAAAATTCTGTGGGTGGGAGACGACCAAGGGAATTGCTTCTTAGGCTGCAGAAGGGTCATAGGGGAGTCCAGCAAAGTTGTCCTGGTGGCTCTGACGATGTGAGGTCAGCGTCCCCGCAGGTCGTATCTGAGGTCGGGACTGGACGCCCTGGGGATCCCTTCCCGACGTCTCCCAGTTCATTCCTTCTCAGATCTCCTTCTGAAGTGGAAGCCATTGTTCCTATTTTGCAGCTAACAGAAGACAGATGAGTCACACCTGAGCCCCAGTCCAGGAACTGTCCTACCTCCAGCTGCAGCAGAGAGGCCGCCAGATCGCTCAGGGAGTTGGGTGCCTCTCTGTGCCAGGCCCAGGATGTTCCTGAGCAGTCCTTGCCGTGGCCTCCCGCAGGCCGGGGCCATCTTCCCTTTGAACCCAGCCTAGCCCTACCTAACCCCCCAAGTCCGCTGCCCTTGGCCTCTGGTACATTACCGGGCACTCTACAATGTCCCGCCATCCCTGGGGACCTTGTGGCCCCTCAGCTTGCCAGGCCTGAGGGACCCGTGGAAACTCTAATCCTCCCCCTCCTTGGTGACACAAACTCCCTCTCATTTTAAGTAATTCTTTAGGATATATGGAAAATACTGGTACAATTTCAGAATGGAATAACTTTATGAGCTTTGTAGATTGCAACTAGATTTATTTATAAATAAGGAGAAACGTCCCTTCTTATCTTTTGAGGGGTGTCCTTGACTTGATCTACTAACTTTTTTTATGATTATGTATGATGTATGATCATTGTGGAATAATTGGGAAATGTAAGTCCACACAAACAGGAATATATTCATTTATAATTCCATTTTTCTACAGGATATATTTTCCCATTATTTCAACTTCTGCATTTGTCCTTGATCTTACCCATCTCCTTGAAATACATTATTGCCTATACCACCAATCGTGCATCTAGAAAAATGTGTTATCAATAATAAATGTATTCCACCTGAGTCTCAGTTGCAAGCTTGCCTCTCTGACAGCCATCTCCAAGCACTACACGTCACTTCCCCTTAGACCCTCTCTCCAAATGCCTTCAGTGCAACCGAGGACTCAGTTTGGTTGGCTGACCCTACCTACCACCTGTCCATGTCAACACCACCCCTCAGTCTCTCTTTACCCTGCCTAGTGATGATACCGCTGGTTATCCATCACGAGTTCTGCTCCCTCACATGTTGAAGTTTGAATATTAGAGAAGCACTCGGAGGCAAGCATATAAAGCAGGGTTTATTTAAAAAGAAGTAACATAGACTTCTCCTGG